CCACAGTGGCTGAGAGGCCAGGGTGCGCACACACATTTCCCAGTCCGTGACACAGCCTTCCGTAGCTGGGGCTGCCCCTGAGGCCTCCCTTAAGAACAAGCTCACCAGAGAGCTTTTTGTTCTCCAGTATGTCTCCTAGTTCACCACATTTCCTCCTGGGGCTCCTGTGGGTTACTCAAGGGAACAACATCTGGGTGCCAGCCCAAAAGAGTCCAAAGGCTCCAACTGCCTCTCTGCTTTTAGTCATGCTTTTGTCCATAGTTCCCCTTTGGAACTTGGCTGCATTGCTCTCAAACAAAATGGGATTTACTCTGGCTTACACCATTAAGTCTATCTGAATTGGAACACTTCCAAAATGAGAAGCCAAATGGGCTACTGCCCAAATCGGCTACTGCTCACCTAACATAGATACTCTTGAGAGTGAAGATGAAACACAAACTAACTGAATGCAGTTTCCCAGAAAGGAGCTGCGCAGGAGCCAGTACCTCCTACATCCAGAGCAGTGTATGCTTCCTTGCTGAAAACGGAACACAGGCTTCCATTTAGCATATAAAGACATGAGGGTGTCCAACTAGCGAGAAGGAAGACTATCTTTTGCTCATCAAAATCTTTTGCTCATCAAAATCTTTTGGTCTTGTTTTCATATTCTGACTACTTCACTATGTAAGTTATCATTCTTGCTTTACTGGGGAGCTTAGTCTTGCCTGAAAAAAGTCTTTAAGTATGACATTCCACGGATTTGCTCAGCCCAGAGGATGAAAATTTAAACAACTTTTCCTTATCTTTCTTTCTGTGGCCTCAAATTCCAATACTTTACAAAAACATATATCCCTTGTTCCAAACACACATTGGAATCCTCATTCTATGTTATTACACGAAAGTAAATATAGCTTTTGATAATTTACTCCTTAAATAAGTGTTTAGCATTTAATACAAAATTACTACTTAGAAATTTTGAACAAAGAAATTGTGTCCTAAATTTTTGTGAGAGGGAGACTCTTTGTATGGGATGAAACTGCTTACAGAGAGTTGTTTAAGGTACAAAATTAAATAGCAGTCACCTCTAACAGCTACCTTGTTTGCCATCAGCAGGGAATTTACTGGAGTACAGGATCTTGTATAATTAGCTCTTAGTGAACTTGTTTGTCAGAGCTAGATAGAAAGGGTTATTAAAACATATTTATAATTTGTATTTTGATATGTCAACAGCTTTTAAATATTAGATAATGTTACAAATGCCATGGGCCTTAGCAATGTTGGCACTCATGTCACACAGATCCATACACTGGGGTCTCTAGCAGCAATAATACAGTGCAAACAATAAATAAGAGAAGTCACTCATGAACTGAATGTAAAAGAATTTAATACTATACTTCTAGACCAAAACCACTCATTTTATGAGAATAAGATGCTTCCTTTCCCTGTCATCACCAACTTGGAGCCCTTTCTGTTTCTACAAATTTACCAGTT